TGCCGCGAAGCGCTGCGCCGCGCACGTCGCCACCACTGCCGCTCGAGCGAACCCGCCGCCGCGTTGCTGGCCCTCTCAGTCGCGACGCGCTCGTCACAGGGTGCAGATCGTACGTCGTTCGTCGCTTCGACACCCTCCGTCGCGCGCAACACGCGCTTCTCACGCGGACAGTCGCCGCCGTACGTCGCACGGCGTTTACCGCGAGCCGCAATCCGTATCCGTACTATCCGTTAACGCGTTAATTTTTCGCCGTGGAAAACCCGCAACGTCGTCGTCATCGTGATCGTTGTTGTTCCGCGTTTCGAGGTGGTTGGTGGTGGGTGGTTAATGGTGAAGTCTGATTCTCTCTCTCGGACAAAACGCTCCTCAACGTGATAGACACTTCGATGAGACTAGATTAAGTGACAGTAGCTAGGAACTGTTAAGAAAAGGAGGAAGAGAAAATACAGCGAAAGGGAGAGTAAAGATTAAGTGTGCCGCGTGGTGGAAATAGGGACGTGTCCCCCCTCCTCCCGTGACGGGATTACCTTGATCCCTCGGGAGACTCCCCGCCGTGTATGATGCTTCGTTGGGGAAGACAAGGCGAACTCTAACTCTCTTAAAAGCGGCGGGAGTGGATTAGAGTGTACGGTATATTCCGAGCCACGTTTCGGAGCTAGGCTAAAAGATGCTCGACCACGACGTCCCGTTGGGACGATGACGCCCGCGTCGGTTCGCGTCTGACAGATCCGCGCACGTTGCCACGAGGCGCGCGGATAAGGCACTCGCACTCGCCCCGCGTAATTTCGCGCGGACATCTGGAGGTTTTGCGTGTGGCTGTGCATGTGTGTGTTGCAGATGCGGCCTCGTTGCTGATCCGATCGAGGGTGAACGTTGCCGAGAAGCCGCGGCGAGACGCACCACGAGGAGGAGGTGACTGGAGGAAGAGACGAAAAGAGAGCGAGAGGCGACAGCGTAGAAGGGAAGAATCGCCCGGCGAGATAGAGGAGAGACCCAAGCGGAAGGTGCATTACGTCCGATCATGACGCAACAAAGCGGCGCTGGGTCACCCCAGCAGTTCTGCCTGCGCTGGAACAATTATCAGACTAATCTGACCAACGTCTTCGATCAGCTACTACAGAGCGAGAGCTTCGTGGACGTGACCCTGGCCTGCGACGGGCACAGCGTCAAGGCCCACAAGATGGTCCTGTCGGCCTGCAGCCCGTACTTCCAGGCGCTCTTCTTCGACAACCCCTGCCAGCATCCGATCGTTATCATGAAGGATATCAAATGGCCGGAGCTCAAGGCCGCGGTTGAGTTCATGTACAAGGGCGAGATCAACGTCTCCCAGGAGCAGATCGGCCCGTTGCTTAAGGTCGCGGAGAGCCTCAAGATCCGCGGCCTCGCGGACGTTAACAGCGAGCACGAGCTGACGTCCAGGCCGACCCTGGAGGAGGTCGCGACCGCGGCGATGCAGCGGAAGAAGCGCCGCCGGATGTCCGGCGAACGCTCGCCGTCCGCCAACAGTCCGGAACGCGTCGGCTCCGGCAGCATCGGCCCCGACGATCAGGATGTCATCGGCAGCAACATCATCGTGCCCGAGATTCACAGCATGGTGCCGTCGACTGCCAGCTCGACCCCGAGGTCCCTCGGCTCGCCCAGCACGCCCAGCATCTCCGTCACGCCGCAGATCAACCTGCAGGAACTTCCGACCTCGCTGCCCTTACCGCCACCCCCGCCACCACCACCGCAGGGACAGCAGAGCTCGCACCCCCTGCCGACCCACCACGTGCCCGGCCACGTGACTTCCGGTCCGCACGCGCCCGTCAACCACCTGGGCGGCCACGGCCAACAACTCAGCGTGCAGCAGCAACAGCAGCAGCAGCAACAGCAGCAGCAACAGCATCATCAGCAGGGCGCCGGCAATCAGCCCAACGCCGGTGACGACCTCGAGATCAAGCCCGGCATCGCGGAGATGATTCGGGAGGAGGAAAGGGTGAGTCAAGTTTTCTTCTTCTTCTTTCCGTCTATAATCCCACCCCGGTCTTTCTATGTAATGCGAGAGAAAAAGTTGGAAATCGACACGTTGCGTCTCTCGGTAGTGCGAGTAATAGTGGCAACTTGTTCGCGAAAATGCTGAGGAAAATAATTGCCGCTCTCGGAACCGTCGCTGATACCGTTATCGTGAAAAAGTGGCTTTCCGTGATTCGCGAAAGGATTGTAATCAAATCCGCGTCAAGTGGTGTGGATATGAAAAAGATTCCAACACATCGTCGCATTATCATTCTAATTCTAAGCGCGAAAAAGCTGATATGCATAATTGTTATATCGCATCATTACGCGTGCGTGCGTTTGAGAATTACTGACGGACGAATCTTCCTTTATCGGCGGGAGTGATACTATTTCTTGCGATTAATCCTTTTTCCCGGGACGGACATTTGTCTTTGCACGCGTCAGTGCTAATATGTAATTTTCGATGCAAATTGTACAACAAGAATCCCGTAATTGCATCGAGTGTTGTAATTAGAAGATTTTTATGTACATGATAACGTCGAATCACTCAGATATGTATTCCGATGCGCTGAATGTAGCTTTCCTGTTTTTACGACGGCAGAATATTACTTCTCTTCTTGCCGAAGATAAATTAGTAGAAATAATATGCAGGAAGAACAAAAAAAAAATGGTCAGAATTACACTCGCTTGTTAACGAGAATGGGATAAAAACAGCATTTCCGTCAGAAGTAACGTTAGATCTTCACGTTTCAAGAAATGTATGTAAAAATGAATGGAAAAAAAATTGATTAGTTCTGCCAGATATAAAGTGCTGGATGGAAAGGGCCCTCGCGTACCTCAGCCGCGCGTAGATTAGATTTATACGAATAGATTAGAGAATTTATAAAATGTATTTTCCAATTTAAATTACCGCGCGTTACTAAGTTGCGTTACAAGCCTAATTTTGTCGATTTGACGTTACGTAAACGAGCGAATAAATTTCTGCGCTCCGTAACTAGCAATTTGCGCACGCGCATGCATTTAAATTTTATTCGATAAAATATTCGATCAAATAAATATGAGTCGTGAGGGATACGCCGTTATTTGTCTAACATTTTGGAAATGATTCGGCAACGGGGGGCGGGTCAATTAAAACTTTCCTCCACCGCCGGTCGAGAAACGTGCCGCCGAATTGAAATAAGAAACGACGGTGCCTACTCTCCCGGCGAACAACTTCCTCTCTGCACCGAAACTTTCGCGCTCCGGGGCGGTTAACCCGAAATCGCGCCAGCGCAATTTTCCCCGATAGAAAAGGAAGACGCTGGCCGCATGGGGGGGGGGGGGTCACGGCCGATCATTAACGAGAGCGCGGTGGGTTTCGCGTTCGTTCTGGTCAAGGCAAACGATCCTCGAGGAAGGCAAACGACGGCGCTTACCCGCACGTACGACATTTCCCGCTGGATATAATTGGCCGGCTCTTTCGCCGCGCGGCGATACGGAAAAGTGTCGCGCGCGCGGGGCGCACTCGAGACGTGGCGGCCGCGCCAATTACACGAGCGCGGGACGAGTTTTCGCGCCGGGGGGGCGCGCGCGTTTCTCGCGTTTTAACGCTCGCGCGGACGGACGCGCGCGTCAAGGGTGGCGATGCGGAAGGGGGTGGGTTGGAGAGGGGGGGAAGGGTGGCGGAACGACGGCGGAGGGAAAGAGAGAGGCCCCCGCGCGCTTTTCCGCGGACGGAGGTGGAGGGCCATCCCAATTACCCGGCGATTGGCTTCGACGGTATGCGCTAATTGAGAGTATCAATGAACGTCAATGAGCGCAGTCAATATTTGGCCGGGGTGCATCCGGCCGAGCGTTTTGTAACGTTCTTTTTGTTAAAGCGGATGACAAATATTGACCGCGCTCGTTCGCGTTCGCGCGCGTACGTGACACAAACACGCGCGCGCGCGGGGGGCCGCGTCCGCACGCACACGCACGGGCGCGGGCGCGCACACGCCTGGGGTATCGACTGTTCTCGTTAATTACATCGGGACGACGGTGTCTCCTGCATTATTTATCGTTCGCTACCGGTGCAAGTTATTAAGCGTGCGGCTAGTTACAAGCCGTTTTGTAACTAGCACGACGACCGTCGGACACGAGCGGGGGAGAAGGAGGCGGGGAGGGGGCAGGCTGCGCCGACTTGGGCCGAGCGGTTAACTTTACGCTTAACAAAATATTTTCTCCTTCCCCCCGCGGTACCGGGCGCACGATTTGCGGCACTTATTTGTATAATCGTATCAATAAGAGCATCGAGACGCGCGCGGCGCCATTCGTTATCCCGATGAAATTTGAAATGATCGTGTGCCGGCCGTATGTTTCACTTGTAAAAAGTGTTGTCTAGAATTCCACAGCCGGAGATAATAAACACACCGATGCATTATTCAAGGTTTATCTTATCCGGATGTATAATACGTATATTATAATTTACATCGACAGAGCTACGTTTTTATGTTATTTATGTAACATAATCCGATAAGTCGGATAAAAGTCTTAATATATGAATATCTAACGTAACATGAGAATTCTGTACGGGCGTATCGAGTCCCGAAGCTAATCGGAAAGTTAAATAAGTTTAATTATTATCCCACCCGACGACGTATTGCGCGCACAATTGACGCGCGTCTGCGTGAACCGTGTCACCTTCACTCGGTGCGTCTTACGTGCACGCGGAAAATGAATATTCACCGTGAGGTAGGGCGGGGACTTGACGCGCGGACGCGCGAAATTTTCGCGTTTCCGAGTTTTTGAGACCAGGTGGCGAGTATCGGGGGGGGAGGAGGGGCGATACACCGGAGGAGGAGGAGACACGCGGCTTCGCGAAAAGCACGGCGGATGCGCCGGAAGACTCGGGTCCGCGCGTCAGTTGAGTTCAATCTAGGAAATTAAAGTGAGCGACCGACTCGCGGCCGGTAAGCGGCATTATTTTTTTTTCTCCTCTCTTCTCAGGGCGCACACGTCGTCGGCCCCGCCGCACCGTGACGTAATCCGCTATACGTATATAATGGTTATAACATTCCGCGGAATTCCATTATGTTAACGCAACCACGTTCCAATTCTCCGGGTATGCCTGCCTGCCTGCCCGCCCGACTGCCTGTGCGCGCGTATCGTAAATGCGCGCCGTTGTAGTATCGCAACTATTCCGCGGTGCCTTTCCGATTAAAATACCTAATTGATGCGGGCGAGAGAAGCCAATGGCGCGGACCCGGGGATCGTGGAATGCCAAGCCGCGAGAGCACTGCCAAGCACCGTCGACATGGATTTTTTTGTACGGAACGAATAAAAGAAAGGGAGAAAAAGGGGGGAGAGAGAGAGAGAGAGAGAGAGAATAATTATACAAGTAGATGAAATGAAATAAAATGTAATTATGCAGATTGCAGTAAATGAACGAAATGCATCGCTATTTCTAAGAAAGAGAGAGGGAGGGGGGGAGGGAGGGAGGAAAAGAGACAGAGAGGAGTTTGTAGAAAAAGAGAAAGCGATGTTTTCATTTATATAAACAGTATATCAGTATTAGCGTGAAAGTTCTTGGATTAATTTATTCAAGATAAAGAGAAACGTAAGTTGAAAACCACGAAGGAAATGATGAAGTAAGTCCCGAGAAAAAGTACGGGCGAATAGTACACGAGATGCTCGTTAGATTACCGACTTAAGTGCTCGGGAGTTTTATTCTCTTCAAATCTAATTCTAATAACTTTATATTCTCCATTGAGAAGCGAAATTCTCGAGCGCGCACGGTTTTGCGTCGAGTGGAGTTCCGTTGTCGTAGGCCGGTCTCTCGATAGCGAGTGTCCTATCTTCCAAGTGCACGTGGTGCACTTCTTTTTTTTTTTCTTAAACAAAGGAGACATTTCTCTCTACACGCATAGGTACAGCGATGCTAATATTTCCACGAGGGGGAAATCGCTGACCAAAATCTTGTACACCAATGCCCACTAATGCCCAGTGGGCATTTCTTTATCTTATTTTATCTTTATGATGCCCAAAAATTGCCTGGTAATGCCCAGCAATGCCGTAAATCTGTACACCACAATGCCCCCGGCGGTTTTCCCCTCAAATTTCCATATAAAAAATTTGTCGAACACCATGACTAAATTTCTCTCGATAATATTCGATTCTTTACCTATTGCGACGCACGTCGGCAAAAACAAGTTGACCGAGACGGTGGCCGCGTCTCCTCTCTTGAGCTACCGAAATTGTCGCGCGCGTATAACAGATTCGTCAATTATCGCGACTGATATTTCATACGATAAGCTTCGATATTTTATTGGCCGTATTAGCGTCCACGGGCGCATTAACGCGATGTAACGTAACGAAGCAGCGCACGTAAAAGTAGCGGGCGACCTTCCGCATCTCGGAAATTAGGGAATCAACAGGGAGCGTCGTGAGTTATGAATCGCCCGCCTCCGGCGGCGAAAACCGGGGACAATTATTTATGCCTCGAACGCGGGCCCAGGACCCGGAGGGGACTCACGATAACGTATACGCGGCATTACGCGGTATAAACATAAATTATATTTCACCTGTCGCGCGCGAGCCTCATGATGCGTCTCCTACGACCACTTAATAGTACTCTAATCGTATCGTTCAATCGTGCGATCGTTCACATACCAAAAAAAAAAAAAGAGAAAGAAACAGGTTGTTCGCGATTCATTATTCACTGCGAGCAAACGTTACTAAGTGGCAATTTAATATTTTTTAACGGCAAATATGTTGTTTCATGATAAATATAGCGTTCGGGCATGTCACACATTGTAGTTAAGATGGAAAAAATTTGATTGAGTGAATATCGTTTTTAAAAAGATACGAGAATTTACTGAAAGTTGCAACGACAATTTTTCTTAAATATCATTCCTAAAATACACACGTTCCGCCGATATAACCGATGTCAGATTTCAGGATCGTAAAATAGAGATTTTAAAATGACAAAAATGTTAAAATAACACACGCAAATTATGCCGCACCGGC